AGGGCTAAAGTGGAAGGCAAATGTTTTGAGAATGATGAGGGCAACAAATGTACAGATGCGCTTGACACAATGGATGGATGGATTGTGATAAGAATTGTACGAGCCCCCAATAAAATAATTTTTAAAAAATGGAAGCTAATTACATTAGAACACAAAATAGAGGGTAATTGCATAATACTGGGAATCATGACCTATCCAAGTTGACATAGGATTAAGTATCACGGCTTTCTTGTCAAAAATTGGCCATAGACGCTTGGATTTGTTTCTGAATGTTCAGCCCTATTCTGAATTCTGGAGTCACTCATTCCTTTTCATTCCTCCTCTGCAGTTGCCTTTCCTCCCACGCTTCCTCCTTCTTTAGGGTTTGGCAGCTGATTGGTTAGATTGGTCAACTTCTGGGGAAGTGGCTGTACCAAGGAAACCCTCGAGAGAACTGGTAAAAACAATCACAAGATCCATGGAAAGGGTGTCCAGACTATTAAAAGGAAGAGAAACAAAATCCAAGCAAGCCCAGGAAAGATTGCTTTTGTATTAAGAGGCTGAAATCTGAGCGTATCCAGAACTGGAATGCATAATTTTGATTTATAGCATTGTCTGTCCTGTCTGAGTTGATCCATAAACACAGATCTCTCCTGGGAGTGGCAGTCCAGGAACTTTTTGTGAAAATAATGATAAAGGTGGAATTTATATGCCCAGTTTGGGAGTAAGCATTTTTCATGGATTACCTAATTTTCTCTTCATTATGAGGCCATTTCGAATATAACAGCCACTTTACAGGAGAGAGAATGTCGCTACCAGAGGATAACTAATATAGCTAAGATTACAGAGTAGGTAAGGGACCAGACTTTTAACTCTACCCTCTCCAAAGTCCATGTTCTTAATCAATGAGCTTTTCTGATTGTCAATGAATCATTTATATCCCATTGCCAGAAATACACATTTAATTTCAAGTTATCTCTTTCAAAGGTTTCTCCCTTTGGCGTATTTCACTGTTTAATAAATAGTATGACCCTCTTTGTACACGTTTTCTTTTAGAAACATCTCCTTGCAATTTTTAAAGTAATTATTTTCCCAGATTGAATGCAAAGAACAAGATTTCTGTTTCTGTTTTGTCCGAGTAGTCCTGGGCATGCCCTCCTTGACTTTATGCATATTGCTTTTAAGAAATTTTTATTAAAAAAAACATTTTATTGGGAGCTCTTACAACTCTTATAACATTCCATGCATCAATTATATCAAGCACATTTGTACATATGTTGCCATCATCATTTCCAAAATATTTTCTTTCTACTTGAGGCCTTGGTAGAAGTGCCTCATTTTTCCCCTCCCTCCTCCATCTTCGTGAATCCTCGATGAATTATATATTATTGTTATTTTGTATCTTACACTGTTCGTTGTCTCCCTTCGCCCATATTTATGCTATTTTCCCCCTTGTGGGGGGCTATATATCCAACCATATGCATATTGATTTTTATAAGTCTTCCTAATTATTTGTACTTTCATTTCAGTGAACTAGATAGTGGTGGCATTTGGGACTTGAGATAGTTCAAGGAAGTAGACTTATGCAATGTATGGTTTCCTGACCATTTTCACAACTGACCAAACAGAGAAAACTATTCAGGTACTCTGTAAACAAATGAGACTGCCCTAATCAGGGGCCATTGGTCCCACCCAGTCATTCTTAGGGTTCAGGTTCAATGTTGGTGGCCCCTGAACACTGTTTGGGAAACTCTAGTGTTGTGGAGAGAGGAAAGACCTTAGAGTCAGGCAGATCTGCTTCTATATTCCCCTCTATTACTTACTAGCCACGTAGCCTTAGACAAGACATTTCAACCTCTCAGGTGTAAATGGGATGATAGCTTTAGCCTTCTGGAATTGTGTGAGACCTCAGGATAACATAAGTCAAATATTTCCCCCATAGTAAGAGTTCATGTACAAAACCAATCTCACTTCCAATCAGTTGATGCCGATTCTCAGTGACCCTATATAGGGTTTCTTAGGCTTTGTAAATCTTTATGGGAGCAAACAGCCTCATCTTTCTTCCATAAAGCAGCTCGTGGGTTTGAACCACTAAGCTTGAAGTGCCACCACAACACAACATAACATAACACAACAAAAACCCTCACTTCCATTGAGTCAATCCTGACTCATAGCCACCCAATAGACAGGTTAAAACTGCCCCTGTGAGTTTCCAACACTGTATTTCTTTACAGGAGTAGAAAGCCTTGTCTTTCTCCTGAAGAGCTGACTGGTGGTTTCAAACTGCTGACTTTGTGGCTAGCAGCTCATTGTGTAACCACTAAGCCACCAGTGCCACGAGTAGCAATTAATATTGGTTTCCTATTATCTTAGTTGTATATAGTTCTATGCTTTTGTTTCTAATTATATATTTTTAAATATTGATGCCAGCTTATTTTTGTCTATTCAGTGGTTTAAAAACAAAATGTTCAACTGAAAATTAGATAAGGGCTACAGATGGATTTGGGATGGAGTGGGGTGAAGGGGGGAGAGATGGCAGTAAAATCATGTATATTTGTTGAGGGTTTCTGATGTGAACAGGTTTTCACCATGTCATTGCTGGAGTAAGAGGTTCCCCGGAGAGAGCCCTGAAGTCTCCCAAAGGAACCCCGGGGCATCTCACACCCTGGGGTTGAAGGTGAACAAATGATGGCAGAAAGCAAGAAAAGAAAACCGCACCCATGGGACATTGTGTCAGTCTGGGTACTTTAGAGAAACAAATCCACAGCAGCTCGTGTATAAGAGTTTTATATAAAGGTTAAGTGTGCATCAAGAAAACATCCTAACCCAGTGCTGCTCAAGCCCACAAGTCCAACATTAACCCATTAACCCGTATGTCCAACACAGGTCCACAAAGTCCTCCTCCATCTCACAAAACAGATGCAACGATGCCGACTGCAGGAGGAAAGCTGAGTCAGTGAACGTGTAAGCATTTCAGTACTGGCAGGGATCTCCACACGGCTGCTCCAGCGTGCAGGGCTGCATCGGGGAGGTCCATGTGGCTTCTCAGGGATGTCCTGCAGGAAGTGAGCCCCGCCTGCTAAAGCAGGGAACTGGCCAAGGCAGCTTCACCCTGGCACGACCATCAGAAAGCAAGAGACCTGAGAACTAGAAAGGCGAGGTTCACCGAGCCATTTATCCCTCCACCCTTCAATTAACCCCACGTGTGTTTATCGGCCAGGTTGGCACAATAAACTAACTCAGGCATCCACAATGCAATAGGCATTTTCATAGCACATATATTTGTTTTGTAATTTCCTGAGTGCAGTGGTTCTCAACTAAGGGTGATTTTGCCTCCGATTGAATATCTGCTAATGTCTGGAGTTATTTTTGGTATGGAAGATGTTATTGGCATCTAGTGGGTAGAGGCCAGAGATGCTACTAAGCTACAATGTACAGGATAACTTTCACAAGAATGATCAGTCTCAAAATGTCACTAGTTCAGAGGTTATGAACTCTGCACCCTGAAGTTTTGTGGTAGGCATGATCAACTTCATTTTTACAGATAAGGAATCTGAAGCTCTGAGCTATTCCAGCCTTACAGCTCCAAAACCCAGGCGATTTCACTATGGATAATGGTCAAACTGAGGGTGACAAAAATAACCAAGATTTTTCTGTCACTGAAGAGGCGATCACGGAAGACATGGGCACTATAGCAAAGGGTAGAGATGAAATCAGATGATGCTGGGATACCAGGAAAAATCGTGCCAAGGTCTTAAAAGCTTGTTTCAAAACAAGCAGCCATCTATGAGGAATCAATCAGCTAAGTCCACACGGAAGAAGCACAGCAGAATATGTGATCCAAGGATTGTAAAGAAAACTATCCAAACCTAGAAGAGGAAATGGTACCAGTGCTTAAATTCTAAGCACCCTGTTTGCTGAACACTATGGATGATAGTGGTAGCCGAAAATTCATTTGCAGGTTGCTCTGTGGATTGAGTCGGGGTGAATCCCCAATAGGTTAGGAACATGAACAGCGCTAATGCCAGACAAAGCACATTGTAAAGTGGATCTTAGCAGCTGTCCTTAGCCTAGAACGTAACACCTTGTAATATGAAACTCCCTCTGTACCCAATATGAATTTATTCTAAATTCCTACTAGTCTCTGCTTTCTCTTAGACTGAGGACTTCCTCTATGTTATATGGTCATTGATGAGGGTCCTTGTCTGTTGTTTGCCCTTGTTTGTATGTTGATCTGTATAGGGAGATCAGGACAAGCGGATTCATGAAGACAGTGGCTGGATCAACGATTGTAGGTCCAGGAGGGGGGGTGGGGGAAATGGAGAGTTAACATCAGTGAGCACAAGAAGGAAGAAAAGGTTACAAAGTCAATTGTGGCGATGATTGCACAAACCTTCTTGATATGACTGAATTACTGAATTGCATGATATGTTAATTATAGCTCAATAAAATACAAACCTGGCTAAAGAACCAGGGATGCGGGCAGAGAGGCACTAATTGGTACTGGGTAGGTACTGAATGAATGAATAATCGTGGTATAATAAGGATGTGTGTGACCGTCTTATTGTCATCCTGACTACACTTCCCAGTCCTTGTTTCACAATCCCAAAGTGAGTCAAGGCTAGTGATGGGAGCGAAAATCAAAGGAGGGTGGGAAGTTTCAAGTCCCTAGGCTCAATTTCAGAAGGAGCCCAGATTTCCGTGCCTGGTCCTCTCGGCGGCACTGGAATTATGAGGAGATTGTCTGTACAAACTCTTGCATTTTATTTTCTGGGAAGGCAGCCCCGGAGATGGGAGGTTCTGAGCTGAGGACTATTCTCTTTCTTTCCCCAGACTCCCAGTCCAGTTTACAGCCCCAGGATAAGCAGAGTGACTTGTTTTCCAGTTTTCTGGGAATTTGGCCTTGGACTGAGCCAGATGGCCTTGCATCTTCTGGGAGGGAACAGTTGAGAGGAAAGAGGGTAGGAGGGGTGGCGCTTAGATAAAAGAATATTTCTTCTCAGTTCCTCTTTTGAACTCCAGAGTTTATGTGTGTCCTCTTGGGGTGCAATCTGTCAAACTTTGAGAGAGAAGCCTGTGTTGGCTGTGCTGAAGCTGAGCTGCTCTAGAGAGTGATGGAAATTCCCAGTTCCCTACCCATCTCCTCTGGTGAGAATGACCAGGCTGCCTGTACATCCTCTCGTCCTTTGGGCCAAATACTACTGTGGACAGCTCTGCTATTCCTGGGTAAGTCCGTTTGCTGCCTCCTGCAGAGGGAGATGGAGAAGGAACAGAGGTTATGGTGCTGCAATTTTATTTGGAGCCAAGCTTGGACCGGGATGAGGCCTGGCTTGGGAAGCAGGTCAGGAATAGCAGGCTGATGAAGAACAATGCTGTTGGCCTTAGAACTCATGAAGTTGGCAGGTTTTTGTTTGTTTGTTTTAGTGTGTTTATGCAATCTCATGGGGCACTCAACTCTTACTGCTCTGCCAACTTCCCATATTGGATCCAGCTCTGAGGAAAGTCTAGTGACCAGCGCCGAATGGCTACTGAGTGACCAGAGCGTTCATTCCCTTCGAAATCAGTGACTCACATAAATGTCTTAGTGTGACCCAATCTTAGGCAGGAGGGATGGGCTGACTTAGACAAGGGGAAGAAGGGAGGAGCCTGTAAGTATGCTATTTTGTTTTTAGTGGGTGGGATGGAGAGGAGCCAAAGGTCTTTCTCTGTGCCACTAAAGCCCTTTTACGCAGCAGAAGACGAGTCTCTTTATGTAGAAGGAGATTCCGCTGGAGAGAAGCACAGGAAGGTCTAGTTATTCAAGGATGAGACTCAGAGAATACACAAACCTGGGCAAGGTCAAATTTTGATTATGGGCCCAGATAAATTGTACGTGCCTCCTTTTATGGCACAGAACCCAGGGTAGGCCTGGTTCTGAGAAGAGAAAACCTGTGATTTATGTCCAGATGGAGGGTTGGTTTTTGATCATATTCTCCGTGGTGGGCCGGGGGAAAGAAACTGATGATGCTGAGTTGGAGGAAGATCCTAGGGGGGCCAGAGCCGTCGTGCCAGGATTCACTCCTTGTAAAGACGGCTGTTTCCTAGGAGGTGGGGGTGAGATAGACCTCTTCCCTTCGATCTAGACTTCTCTCCTGGGCTGGATAATTAGTGGCATTGACCACACAGAACGCACAAACCCTACTAACAACTATGAGCTTGATTGGATAATTAACAAAGAAAAATACAGTTCTTAATCTGGACAACTTTTTCTTGCCTTTAGCGGGGTCCTGTTTGGGACCTTTTGCTGCTGCCCCTTGCTCGGGCCGTCTCTTCTTCTTCTTCTTTTTTATTTCAAGTGATCATTTTATGGGGGCTCTTATAGCTCTTATAACAATCCATACATCAATTGTATCAAGTGTATTTGTACATATGTTGCCATCATCATTTTCAAAAGTTTTTCTTTTTAGTTGAGCCCTTGGTATCAGCTCCTCTTTTCCCCTTCCTCCGCCACCCTCGTGAACCCTTGATAAATGATAAATTATTATCATTTTCATCTGACACTGTTCACTGTGTCCCTTCACCCATTTTTGTTGTTCATCCCCCCAAGGGGTTGGTGGGTGGGTTATAGGTTGATCATTGAGATCAATGATCAGTTCCCTGTTTCTCCCTGACCTTACCCTTACCCTCATGATATCGCTACTCCCATTATTGTTCCTAAGGGGTCTGTGTGTTGAGGGCTCGTATCTGTACCAGTGTACATACTCTGGTCTAGCTGGATCTGTAAGGTAGATCTGGGGCCATGAGTGTGGGGTGGGGTGGGGTGAGGTGGGAAGCATTAAAGAACTAGAGGACTGTTGTATGTTTTGTTGGTGCTATACTGCACCTTGGCTGACTTGTTCCTTCCTTGTGAATCCTTCTGTGAGGGGATGTCCAATTGTCTCCAGACAGGCTTTGGTATCCACTCCAACCCCCCGTGTTTGCATTGATGTAATTGTTTTGGGCCTTCTGATGCCTGCATACCTGATCCTGTCAACACCTCGTGATCACACAGGCTGGTGGGCCTCTTCCACGTGGGCTCTGTTGCTTTGCTCAAGTCTTCTTGGGCAAATATTGCAACCCTTAGCTCCACAGGCTGGCGAGATCCACTGCTGCAATCTTGAGTTGCTATTGTTGTTGCATTATTATTGCTTGTTGTCTTTGAGTTACAGTTGTCTTTCTTCTGGGTCCAGGAGGTTCCTAGCACAGTAGCCCCCGGATCCAAAGGATGTGTTTCTCTCCTGTCTCTTCCTCTTCGTGGGAGTTGGTCCCCACTCTCTACTGGGTTCTTCCTATCTTGATCTCTGGTAGCCTACAAGGTGAGATGTAAGCAAGGGCATAACTTCAGTGAAGCAATGAAGGGTGGTAACTTGAGTAGGAGAGCTAAGTATGGTGCCTGGAGTAAGGGTAGTAACTAAGTGTAACTAAATCTCACCTCTAGTAGGTGGTGACTTGAGTACATCCCCCATAATCCTGCCTCACTGACATGACATACAACTCACCCTCAAATGAGACTATAACCATCAGTTAGGAAAAACTCCTTGCCAGTGAGTAGATTCTGACTCAATGACCTGATAGAACAGAATAGAATTGCCTTTCTGGGTTTCTAAGACTGTACATTTTTATGGGAGTAGAAAGCCTGGTCTTTCTTCTGCAGAGCAGCTAGCGATTTTGAAATGCTGACCTTGCAGTTAGCAGCCCAACATGTAACCAATCCACTGTGCTCCGAGGGCTCGCTTTAGGGGAGGATAGAGACTAGATTGAGAAATTGGAAAGGAGAGCAGGGGTAGAGAGAGTCAGGTAGGTTAATAGGCTTAGTTGGGGAAATATATGAAATATCCTACCTGATTGCGCTTGTTTTCTCAGTGAAGTGTACAGGAAGGCATCCTGGGACAGCAGGAGAGGACAGGGAGCAGATGATAAGATAGGAAGGTTTGAGAAGTGTGGTAATTTGCCAGGGCAGCTGGGACAAATGACTACAAATAATTCCCTCACAGTTGTGGAAACTAGAAGCCCGGAATTAAGGTTTTGGAAGAGCTTGTTCCTTTCTGGAGCTGCAGAGGGAGAAGACATCCCATTCTTTCTCATAGCTTTTTTGTTTGAGTTTTAGTTCTTTAATGCTTCCCAATGTTGTTTTATTAGGGGCTCATACAACTCTTATCACAATCCATACACACATCAATTGTGCAAAGTGCATTTGTACATTCACTGCCTTCATCATTCTCAAAACATTTTCTCTCCACTTAAACCCCCAGCATTAGGTCCTCATTTTTCCCCTCCCTCCCTGCTCCCCCCTCCCTCATGAGCCCTTGGTAGTTTATAAATTGTTATTTTGTTATATCTTGCCCTGTCCGACGTCTCCCCTCACCCACTTTTCGGTTGTCTGTCCCCCAGGGAGGAGGTCACATATAGTTCCTTGTAATCGGTTCCCTCTTTCCTACCCACTCTCCCTCTACCCTCCCTGTTTCGCCACTAACACCACTGGTCCTGTAGGGCTCATCCGCCCTGGATTCCCTGGATTTTCAGTTCCTATCTGTACCAATGTACATCCTCTGGTCTGGCCAGACTTGCAAGGTCAAATTCGAGTCATGGTAGTGGGAGCGGGGAGGAAACATTTAGGAACTAGAGGAAAGTTGTATTTCTCATCATTGTTACATCGCACCCTGACTGGCTCATCTCCTCCCCGAGACCCCTCTGCAAGGGGATCTCCAGTGGCCTATTAATGGGCTTTGGGTTTCCACTCCGCACTCCCCTCATCATTCACTATGGTAAGATTTTTTGTTCTGATGATGCCTTATACCTGATCCCTTCGACACCTCGTGGATGCGTAGGCTGGTGTGCTTCTTCCATGTGGGCTTTGTTGCTTCTGAGCTTGATGGCCGCTTGATTTTCTCATAGCTTTTAATGGATGCCAGCAATCATTGATATTTTAACTCTAGTCTTTGCCTCTGCAGTTGCATGGTATTCTTCCTGTGTTTCTGGCCTTTTGTTTTCTCTGATCAGGTCACCAGTCCTTAGATTAGGGCCCACCTTACTTCAGGAAAGGAGCTTCGGGGGTATAGTGAGCTATGAGTTGATCTGTTAACCTGAAGGTCAGTAGTTTGAAACTACCATCCACTCCTCAGGAGTAAGATGAGACATTCTACTCTCATAAAGATTTACAGCCTCACAAACCCACTGGAGCAGTTCCACTCAGTCCTACCGCACCTCTGTGAGTTGGAAATGATTCAATGACAGTGAATTTTGTTTGTTTGTTTTATTTCATTATGACCTCATCTTAACTTGCAAGCACTCAATTCCCAAATAAGGTTACATTCTGAGGTTCCAGGTGGACATAATTTTGTGTGGACACTATTCAGCTTGGTATAGGGAGCTATGGGGAAAAGATGATTGTTACTAGCAAGACTAACAGAGAAAATTAATGGTCACATGTCAGAATCATGGTTAATATTGAATGTCTTTCTGAATGTGATGATTCTAACTTTACAGAGATATCAATGTACTACCTGTGTGCAAGTTCAAAAACATTAAGTTGAACAAATACCAAAACAAAATGAAGACACCAAACTCATTGGCAAGGAGTCAATACTGACTGTCAGAATCAACTGCTGTGCCCTGAATGACAGCTTGTAAGTTTGAAAAACTCTAGGTACTGTACAATGAACTAGGAGGTAGAATGGAAGCACTAAACATATTATTAGGTCCATTGATTGGAATGCCCCGTGTAACCATGACCCTAAGTCTCCAAATTAAGGAACCAAATTGCTTGGTATTTGGTTGTACATAAGCGGCTATAGCAGCTACTCCCCTACCTTCATAGTTGTAAATATGCGTAGATATATCACAAAGCTTTTGCCAATTCAACTTTTTACAAGTGTACAGTATATTGACAATTACAATAATGGACTGTGAAATTCTACTCTTAATAAAAATTTTCTATTACTATTACCCCTCTCCTCCCTTTCCCCCCACCCCTGGTAACCTCTGATAAACATTGGTCTCTACCCATTTATCTCTTTATATAAACGGGGTCATGCAATCTTTGTCTTCTTATGATTGACTTACCTCACTCATAATGTCCTCCATAAATGTCTTCCTGTTTCATCCATGTTGTAGGATGTATCAAGACTTCATTTCTCCTACTCGGTAAGCAGTGTTTTATTGTATATAGGTACCAAATTAGCTTATCTAGTCATCTGTTGGAGGGCATTTTAGTTGTTTTCACTTCTTGACTATTGTGTTAGTCTGGGTTGACTAGAGAAACAAATCTAGAGACATTCATATGCGTATGAGAAAGAGCTTTAGATACAAGAGCAATTGAATATTGAGAAAACATCCTAGCCCAGTCAAGATCAAGTCCATAAGTTGGATATTAGCCTGAGCCATATGTCCAATAACAATCTATAAATTTCTCTTCAGACTCACACAACACATGCAATGACACTGAATGCAGGAAGATCACCATCCAGTGGGTGGGAAGTCTTGAGGATCCAGCAGTGGTACATGCATCTCAGCGCTGGCAGGGATCTCTACGTGGCTCCTCCAGCTCAGGGCACTAGCGTAGCTCCACGTGTCTTTTCAGCTACAATGTCTTCCAGGGGGTCAGCCTGTGTCCCACCCCAAGCAAGCTATTTACCTCCTTAGTGCCTCCAAATGAGGTCAGGAAGCTGCCACCTGATTGACAGGCTAAACTCCACCCCTTCACTCTTAATCCTCTCAAATTGACAAAAGATTATGCAACAACCACAACTATTGTCTCTAGTGCTGCAGCACACACTGGTGGACAAGTCTCTATTTAAGTCTCAGCTTTCAAATTTTGTGGGAATATGCATAGGAGTGGAATTGCTTGGGAGTATGGTAGTCAGTATGGATTACAACTCAATGTAAAGAAAGCAGAAGTCCTTACAACTGGAACAATAGGTAATATCATGATGAAAGAGAAAAATGGAAGTTGACAAGGAATTCATCTTGCTTGGATCCACAATCAGTGCTCATGGAATCAGCAGTCAAGAGATCAAAAGATGAGTTGCATTGGGTAAATCTGCTGCAAAAGACCTCTTGGAGTATTGAAGAGCAGGAATGTTACTTTGAGGACTAAGGTGTGCCTGACCCAAGCCAGGATATTTTAAATAGTCTCTTATGCATGTGAAAGTTGGAAATTAAATAAGAAAGACCAAGGAAGAATCACATGTGAATTATGGTCCTGTCGAAAAATATTGAAAGTGCCATGGCTTGCCAAAGGACAAACAAACCAGTCCTGGGAGAAGTGCAGCCAGAACACTCCTTAGAGGCAAGGATGGCAAGACTTCGTCTCAAATATTATTGACATGTTATCATGAGAGGCCAGTCCCTGGAGAAGGACATTATGCTTGGTAAAGTAGAGGGACAGTGGAAACGAGCAAGGCCCTCGACAAGATGGATTGACAATGTAGCTCAAAGGGCTCAAACATAAGAACAATTGTGAGCGTGGAGTGGTGTTTCCTTTTGTTGTACTCGGGGCCAGTATGAGTGGGAACTGACTTGACAGCACCCATCAACATGGTAGTCAGTATTTAATTCTTAATGAGGCCCAAGAGAATTATCGTTGGGATAGGTGAGCAGATGAACTGAAAGGAGAGGAGGTTGTAGTTGAAGCATGAGATATTTGATTTTGGAAGTGGTATGTTTTTTTGGTGGTGCTAAGTTACGTGGCTAAGATGTGTGGAAGAATGTTCACGAGGGATGAATGAAGGAAAGTCAAAGAAACTAAGAAGCCAAGTGTTGTGTGGATCATTCAAATGGATTCTGAATCACTCAAGCAGCTTCTATCACAGCGGTTCTCAACCTGTGGGTCATGACTCCTTTGGGGGTCGAACAACCCTTTTACAGGGGTTGGCTGATTCATAGCAGTAGCAAAATTACAGTTATGATGTAGCAACAAAAATAATTTATGGTTGGGGAGGTCACCATGACATGAGGAACTGTATTAAAGGGTCACGGCATTAGGAATATGAGGAACTGTATTAAAGGGTCGCAGCATGGAGTCTTCTATACTTCCCTGGTTTCCAATCCAGCAGACATAGCATTTCTAACTCCTTCTAAAATTATTTTTGTGATTTTCCATTATTAAAGGAACACCAGTGGAGTAGTGGTTATACATTAGGGCTGCTAACTGAAAGGTCTGAAGTTCAAAACCATCAACAGCTCCATAGGAGAAAGAGGGCTATCTACTCTCTCATAAGTGGTGACAGTCTCAGAAACTCACAGGGGCAGTTGAGCCCTGTCCTACAGGGTCGCTATGAATTGGAGTCCACTCAGTGGCAATGAATTTGCTTTTTTGGTGTCATAGTGGGTTATTTGTTGGGCTGCTAACCACAAGAGCTAAAGTCTGAAACCACCAGCTGCTCTGAGTGAGAAATTTAAGGCTTTGTGCTCCCATTTATACTAAGCTCAATCGTTTGTTGCAGCCTCAGAAAACAGAAGGGCGAGCTGTGCTCGGTCTGATAGATCGTTATGAGTCAGGATTGACTTGACAACAGTGATTGGGGTTTTTGTTTTGTTTTTCTCTTTCCATTATTAAACCAAAGAACAGACTTTTAAAAATATCTATTTATTTATATCTTACCATGTGTCAGAGTGCAAGGAAGCTCTCTAGATGATTTCATTCACTGCTTGCAACCCCATGAGGGGACTGCTGTCATGATCTGCATCTACAAAAGAGGAAACACAACCCTCACCTTAGGGTTTCCATAAAGTGGTTTGCACAGTCTCACCTGGTGCATCTATCCAGTCTGCTTGGTAGGCCCACATACCTCACGTGCGCATAGCCAAACCCAGTCATTTCGTGGAAGTTACAAAGACAATAGATTGCTGTTAGGTGCCATTAAGTTGGTCCCAACCCACTGCCACCGTACGTACAACAGAATAACAACCACACAATTGTTCATTTATTGCCATCCTTTTTTTGTCCTGGAAAATATACACGTTTTTGCTCTTCTTGACTTTCTCTCAGCAAAAAACACAAGTGAAAACCCCCACTAATAGGCATGCAGACATACACATACACTGGACACACATGCACACACACATTGGACTTTAATGTAGCTGAGGACCTAACCTCACATCTTCATCAAATACTATCAACCAAGTAATCTGTTGTCATGGAATGGATTCTGGCGCGTGGCAACTCCACGCATTGTCGTGTAGGGCCGGGCCTTGAAGGAAGGAGACCACCAAGGCTTTCTGCTTGCCTCTACGTAGGTTTGCGCAACCGACCTTTCCGTCAGTAGTAGAGCACATTGACCATTTGCTCTACCCAGGAACAACTTTTTAACCCACTAATAGTGTCCATGAGCCCCCCGCCCCTGACCTTTTTATTCAGTTTTCCTTGTCCTTCCTCACTTTGTCTTCACTTACAAAGACCTTCCCTCACCCAGGGGCGTCTCCCTTTCTCGACCTTGCTCCTGAGCCGACACAGCTGATGTCTGTTTGCCGTCATCTACTTCTAATCCCCATTTCTAACCAAATCAAAAGTCCTGCCATCAGGTCAATGCTGCCGCATAGTGATCCTCTGTGGGTTTTTGAGATTGCAACTGGTTTCAGGAGTAGAAAGTCCAGTATTTCTCCCTCAGAGTTGCTGATGGTTTCAAACTGCTGACTATAAGGATTGCAGCATCTTGAAAATAACACAAAAAATGGGTATTATCGAATATCAAGCAATTATTGTTGTTGCTTGGTGCCGTTAAGTTAGTTCCAACTCCATGGTCAACAGAAGGAAACACTCTCTTGTCCTGTGCCACCCTCATAATTGTTCTTATGTTTGAGCCCATTGCTGTAGCCTGTGGTAGTTATGTAGTTTTATGTCAACTTGGAGATAGAAGTGTAGGCGTGGTATCCAAGCTGTCAATCAGGTTGCAGCCTGATGGTGCCTCCTGGTGGGTGTTGCCTTCTAATAAGGACAGTTCAGGGAACTGCCTCCTCTCTCTCTGACTTGACTTTCCTGCTTACTGAGAGCTGCCCGTGTCCTGCCATGTTTGCACCAACCTCGATCCACATGACTTTGCATGCGCCAGCCTGTGATCTTCCTGTGTTCTGCATCATAGCATGTAGCTATGTGAGTCTGAAGAGGGACTTATGGAACAGTATGGGACTGGTGGACTTGAGTTCGACTGGGGTGGAATGATCTCTTGATATATAATTACTTTTTTCTTACCCATATATGAGTGTCACTGGATTTGTTTCTCTAGTCAGCCTGGTCTAACACACAGCCACTGTGTCAACCCATCTGCTCCTCTACTTTACCCAGCATATTGTCCTTTCCCAGGGACTGGTCTCTCATGATAACATGTCCAAAGTAAGTGAGATGAAGCCTTTTTAATCTCTGCTTCAAAGGAGCATTCTGGCTGCACTTCCTCCAAGATTCATTCATTTGTTCTATTGGTAGTCCATGGTATTTTCATTATTCTTTGCCAGCATCATAATTCAAATGCATTGATTGTTTTTGGTCTTCCTTATTCCTTATTATTCCAACTTTCCCATGTATTTGAGGCTATTGAAAATACCACAACTTGAGTCAGGCACAACTTAGTCCTCAAAGTGACATCCTTCCTTTTAAACACTTTAAAAGAGGTCTTGTGCAGTAGATTTACCCAATAAAATGCATTTTTTGGTCTCTCGACTGTTGCTTCCATGATTGTGGATCCAAGTGAAATGGAATCCCTGACAGCGTCCATCTTTTCCTGTTCATCACAATGTTACCTTTCGGTTCAGTTGTGAGGATTTTTATTATCTTTACATGGAGTTGTAATCAATATCGAAGGCTGCAACAGAGATGTTAAGTTCATCATAGGTGATGCAGTACAGTCATTAAAAGAGAATGTCGAAACAAGTAAATCTGCTAGACGTTATAGTGCTCTGTGAACAATTAGATTAGAGAACAGTTTCGATTGTATGTTTTCATTTGTCATTTATGTCTGTCTGAATGTGCACATCATAGGTATGTTGTCATGGAAAAAATCAAAAGGGAGGTACACTGTGTTTGCCGTGTGTACTTTCTATTTTTCTGCAGTAAGCATTGATTTATATGATCTGTGTAAGCCTTTACTCAACACTTTTCTTCCTCCTCCCTCATTGAGGTAGTTAGTTTATTGTGCCAACCTGGCTGATAAACACATGTGGGGTTAATTGAAGAGCAGCGAGATTAAATGGCTCCGCGAGCCTCACCTTTCTAGTTCTTAGGCTTCTTGCTTTGTGATGGTAGGACCAGGGTGCAGCTGCCTTAGCTAGTTCCTTGCTTCAGCTGGCAAGGCTCACTTCCTGCAAGACATCCCTGAGGAGAAGCCACATGGACCTACTCCCATGCAGCTCTGGGTGCTGGAGCAGCTGTGTGGAGACTCCTGCCTGTGCTGAGATGCTTACACGTTCACTGATTCAACCTTCCTCCTGCCACCAGCATCATTGCATGTGTTTTGTGAGATGGAGGAGTTGGGCGTATGGGTTAATGTTGGACTTGTGGGCTTGGGCAGCACTGGGTTGGGATGCTTTCTTCATGTGCACTTAACCTTTATATAAAACTCTCTCTTATACATGAATTTCTGTGGATTTGTTTTTCTAATGTACCCAGACTAACACACTCATAAAAGAGAAAACTCTGTTGTCAGCATAGATTCTGATGATATCATGAAAGAAATGATTTAAAAGGCATAAATCAATCAAATGTTAAGCTCTCCTAGAAATGTTTTTACTTTAAGCAGTGATCTTAAAGGTTAAGTCAAAGGAAAGCATCACGAAACCGCTGGGGAAAGACTGTCCATAATGTGGTCTCCATTTCTTCGATTGCTGGAGCAAGAGCTCCTACCCTTCTTGAAACCGCTCCTCTTCCAGGCAGACCAGGAGAGGCTGGGCCAGGGCTTTGCTGCGGGCGGGATGGGGATGTCTTCTAGGCCCAAGCTCTTGGCCTGGACAAGGATGCCTTGGTGCTAAGATTCAGACTCTGTGCTGATCTTTATTTTCTTTCTTACAGTTCCTGTAGCTGGAACATCTGGTAAGTGTTCAACCCACATCCTCTCCTTCCCCCAGATGCTCATCTCCTCTGCTCCCCGTACCCCATGCATCAGCTAGCAGGAACCCAGAACCACAATCAGGAAAGGGCGACTGCCCCTTCTTCTCCTTCTCTGCTCTCCCTCCTCCTCTCCAACCGAGGAAGGGGCGGGTGATTGTCATCTATGTGTTTTAGGGGCTCCCACCCCTCTCTTGGGTTACAGTGAGATATGACAGACACTGTCACAGAAAATGAGAACTCTGATTGTTGTTCAACTGCCTTCTTTCCTCAAAATAAAACTGAGAGCCCAGCAATTTTAATGTCAGCCTCATGCAAGATCACATGGTCTGCTAAGGGTGTTGGCCTGTGTTGCTCAATCTTCTATTTTACATGGATTTGAGGGGCCTGTTCCTCCGCACTGAGAGAGGGGGAGACATCTCTGCTTGTATCTGGGGGCAGTGAGCTTTGCTGGGCACTTCTTTCTCATGACCCCAGCTGTTTGTAAGCCTCCAGCCTCTCTCTCACCCCCTCTGTCCTTCTGAGGCCACAGGGCTCCTTTGTACTTGATCTGAGGAGGGGACATCCTGACAGTCTCCCTAATGGATAAGGAATGATATCAGAATAGGAAGCTGATGTCTGACCCTCACGCCTGATATTGCCACCAGTTGCACACGCTGCTCTTTAGTCAGCTCTGGAGAATTTGTTTACAGGGTCACAGGAAAGCAAGTCTCCAATAAGCCCATGTGTAAAGTGTGTGTGTGTGTGTGTGTGCGTGCGCACTCGCGTGAGCATGCTCACACCTATATGAGACAGACATTCAAACAGATAGCAGGCACAGCAATCTCTCTCTCTCTCTTCCCCGGGTAACAGTTTAAGTTACTAACTGAAAGATTGGAGGTTTAAATACATCCAGAGGCACTTAGGCTTGGTGATCTATTTCCAAAAGATGAAAAACCAAACTCACTGCCATAGAGTCAATGTTGATTCCCAGTGACCCTAAAGGGCAGGGTGGAAGTGCCCCGTGCGCTTTGCAGACTGTAACCCTTTACGGGAGTAGAAAACCTTGTCTTTTTTCCAAGCAGCTGGTGGATGGTTTTGAACTGCTGCTCTTGCAGTTAGTAGCCCAACTTGTTATTCTCAATAACAATAACCACGACGCCACCAGGGCTCCTCTTTGAAGAATTGAAACGCCTTCAGGAGTGTGGTTCTATTCTGACACACGCGGGTTTGCCATGCGTCGGAGAGTTCTCTCCGTTGCCACTTGATTCCTTATGCTTCTGGGAAGTAGTGAAGCTCCCGGAGAGGACCTGGGTCCCTGGGTCTCCTGACCTGCTGGTGGGATGTTTGCATAAGGGGAATTATTTTCAGCTGCAGCATAGCTCTCGATCTGCCTCCACTGTTGCTGCCCTTAGTAGGACTTCTTTGTCTGGCATTCGGGACCTTCTCCTTCTCCTTCCCTCACGCTTCCCCTTTTCGGTGCTCATCTCCCCAAGGCAGTACACCAGATCTCCCCAAGGCAGTGATGAACCTTGAGCCCCCCTGGGTCAATGTGTTACGTGACGACTACGTGACTCTGAAGTGCCATGGGGCCCACACCCCTGGAAACGACTCCACCCAGTGGTTCCATAGAGGGAGACTCATCCCATCTCAGGTGCAGCCCAGCTACAGCTTCAAGGCCACCGTCAATGACAATGGGGAGTACAGGTGCCAGACTGACCAGAGCAGCCTCAGTGACCCTGTGCAGCTGGACGTGCAAATGGGTGAGTGGAGGGCAACCTGGGGAGGGTCTGGGAGGACAAGGAGAGATGAGATCTGCTTACTCTGCAGAGGGTTCAGGAAAGAGGGCAGGGGAGGGGTGGCCTGTTTACTGGGAAGCACCCTGTGAGTTGCTGGAACCAGTTTTGCCCACTCATTTCCCTTTTCACCCCTTTCTCAGCATGGGTGGTGGGGGTGGAAGTTTGTAGAATTCCTCAGAATATGGTAATGATTGTTTTCTCATCCTGATTGAGAAAGATCACAAGACCACAAACATGTTAGTGAAGCAGTAGGAAATCCTTATTCCATAAGAAGCCTTCCATTCTCATGGCTGAGTAGAAAAACACAAAGTTGGTGCCAGACTCCAACGGAATCCATCTCTGAAAGTGACTAGCGCTATGACCACGATGCATTTATTTGACCCTTCACTCTCCATTCCCTTTGCTCTTCTCCAACCCCCACACCTTCTGCATGGTTTTCTGGAATCAGTGTTCTGCGCCTCAGCTTTCTCTTCCACCAGTCTGTGGGCAGCTTGAAGTTCAAGTTGTGTCTTATCCATCTTTGCATTTCTAGGCCCTAACACAGGGAAGAACTTAATGAAGGTTTTCTAAACAGATCCATGATTCTATAAAAGCATAAAATAAAATGAAGCCAGGCATATCTCAAACACTTATTATCTACCAGGAATCACTATAGACACATGGCATTCGCATGTCCATTTTCACAGTTGAGGAAACAGACTCAAAAGAGCTAAAATACAAAATAACCAAATCAGTTGCTGTCAAATCAATTCCAACTCATGACGACCCCATGTGTGTCAGAGTAGAACTATGCTGTAGAATTTTCACAGCTGTACATACCTTTCAAGCACACTGCTAGGCCTTTCTTTTGACGTACCTTTAAGTGGGTGCAAACTATAAACTTTTGGGTTAGTGCTAAGTTTTAACCACTTGCAATGAGGGCCTCCAGAGTTAAATAGCTTGTCCAATATGGCTGGGCTCATAAATGATGGAGTCAGAGTGTGAGACTAATACTGCCCGATTCCAAACTTGACCAAACTCTACCTTCCATCATGTGCCACCACGAAGACTCCTCTGGGTCTCAGAGTTGAGCCAAGACCTCCTGAGTCCTGTGGTTTCTCTGTGTCTTTCAGATTGGCTGCTGCTCCAGACCCTTCACTGGGTGTTTCAGGAGGGGGACTCCATTGTGCTGAGATGCCACACTTTCAGGAACAAGACTCTGTACAAGATCACTTTCTTCCACAATGGGATATCCAAGAAGTATTCTCCTAACAACCCCAACTTCTCCATCCCACGAGCAAACGCCAGTCACAGTGGAGATTACTACTGCACAGGATTCCTAAAGGAGAAGCACACATCAAAATCTGTGACCATCACTGTGCAAAGTATGGGGAATGTTGTCAAGATCTAGGGAGGGGGAATGACTGCACAACTCAGAGATGTAATCAATGTCATTGGATTGTATGTGTAGAAACTGTCGGATTGGGGTCTGGTGTGCTGTGTCTAATCTCGATAACAACAAAAACCAGGAGCAATGAACAAGAAAAGAAAAAAGAGAGAGAGGGATATGTAGGGAGGGGGAGGAAAAGATGGTATTCAGGGCTCAAGTCATCTGGGCCCACATGAAGATCTCAGAAACGTGGCAGCAGCAAACGTGAGACAAAGAGTCAAGGAGTCTTGTTAGGTTTTGACTGGGGGTAAGATTGAGTCAGCCCTCTGAGCCTACTATATCTAGGCTCGTGAGTGTTTTCACTTCCAGGTGATGTGTGACAAGCCTGTGGCCTCCCTTTGAAATACAGGCTCCTTATTAAGGATAACCGTGGGACTCCCTCAGTGACTCCTGACGCTCCTAGACATTCCTAAGAGTTGAGGTTTTCCCGGGGTCTTCCCAAGCCTTATGTTATATCCATTCACTCCCAAAGGCCTGACAAGTCCCGGACAGTTCAGATCTGCGCTTGTTATAGCAGTGGTGCCTCTTTCAAAGGAAGACTTCAGTCCCTCTTTCCTGTTGTTCCCAGGGCTAAGAGTCACCAGTGTGCCAGGGCCTTATTAGTTTGGTGAAGACCCCTGGGTATGAGGTGACATAAGTCCCCTCACAGAAACCCTGTGTAGGTGGGGTTTAGAGAAAGAAGAGAATGTTGCACCAGCAGGTGGCCCAGACTCAACATAGCTACAGGTGACAAGCACTGGAGTATAGCATTGGAGGAGGATGGGGGAGGCTGGAGATGGGCCATGAATAGTGTTGCCTGTTCTGAAGTCTCTCTTCCCCAGGGACTAAGACGGAGAGCTCTTCTTCACTGGGCGTGATGGTTGCGGCTGTGGTCTCTGGGATTGTTGTGCTGATCATTATTGCCACCGGGGTAACCTTGTTCTGCCTCAGGCGAAAACAGACTTCAGGTTTGTGGTCCCTTTTGGTTGCTCTTGTTCTTTTCCACAAGACCCCAATTCCAACCTTTGCTGGAACCCTGGTTTTTGGACTAGAAAATTCTTAGCTTTCTGATATGAGGGGGCTTCAAAAAGTACACGGGGAAATTCTCTTATATTTTAACTCCATTTTTCTATACCCTTTTTGAAGCCCCCTCCTATAGCCCTTTATTTCATTCATTCCACCAGCGTTGCATAAACTTGTTATGCGCTAAGCTCTGCACTAGATACAATGGGTGATACCAAGATAAGAAGTTCAGTTCCTGCCCTCAAGGAGTCCCTAATATTGTAGAAGAAGGGAGAATCACAGATAGATAATTATAATAAAATGGGGAAAGAAAAATGTTAAAGAACTGCCAAAGCCATGATAGGGGTACAGATGAGACCACATAACCCCGCATGCAGTGGGGCAGTTAGAGAAGGTTTTATGGTATAGTAGATGTACTGTCAGTATAATATAGTGATTGAAGCATGTATGTTGGGGTCACACTGCCTAGGTTCAAATCTCAGGTCTATTAGCACATGGGTCGCTTGCCTTCTCTGTGCTTTTGTTTCCTCATTTGGAAAATGCGGACACTAACAGAATCTATCTCACAAAGTTGTGAGGATGAATTAGGCTAGTGGATTAGCAGATCCTACCCATTGTCTCCGGTCAATTCCATCTCATGGTGACCCTACAGGACAGTGTAGCCCTGCTTGATAAGATTCCTAAGGCTGGAAATGCTCAGGGGATAGACTGTCACACCTTCCTCCCGTGGAGCAGCTGGTGGATTTGTGAGTTTGAACCACTGACCTTTTGGTTAGCAGCTGAGCACTTGGCCACTGCCGCAAGGGCTCCAACTAGTGCCTTAACCAAACCCACTGCTATCAAGTCCATTCTGACTCATGTGACCCTATGGGATAGAATAGAACTGCCTCAGGGAGCTTCCAAGGCTGTTAATCTTTGTGAAGGCACAAGGCCATGTTTTTCTTGATCTTTGAATTAGTGGCCCAAACACTTACCCCACCATACAGGAGGGCTTCTGTGAATAGTGCCTAAATGGAAAAGCCTACTCCCATTGACTTGATGCCGACTCTACAGGACAGAATAGAACGGCCCCTTTGGGCTTTCAATTGGCGCCCTGGAGCCTCATAGTGGTTATGCACTGGGCTACGGTCCCTCCAGATCAGCAATTGGAAACCAGAGACAGGAGCAGGTCTACGCTGTCCTAGAGAGTCGCTATGAGTCACTATGGACTCAGGGGCAGTGCGTTTGCTTGTTTGCTTTTGGTTTCCAAGAGCTTACATTTTTGTGGGAGCATAAGGCCTCCTCTTTCTTCCGAGGGGCTGGTGGGTCTGAAGCACTTTGTGGTTGGCAGCTAAACACATAACCCACTGGGCCACTAGAGAGCCTCAGAGAGTAAATAGCATGTAAGTATAATCTGTTAACCTTCATGGGGGAAGGGGTGATTGAAGGTAGCCATTATACAGGCAAAGAGGACTAGCAGAGCATTGCAGGAAGGGAACAAAAGCATGGAAATAAGGAATATTGTGGCTAGGCTGAGGGCTGGAGAAGGGGTAAGGAGGCTATTGTAAGCCGTTTGATGCTATCAAAATAATAAATCGTGAGTCCGAAAGGAAGGGCAGATGAGACTACACAGATGGGAAGAGGTCAAATATTGCCATTGTATGGAACTTGAACTTTATTGAAAAGGTGGTAGCAAGACTGTGAGCTCCCTTTGAAGGTAGAAACCAGAGCTTTCTTTTCCTCTCTAGTTTCCCCAGCACCAGCAAGTTGCTCAATACATATTTGTTCATTGACTGACCAACTGAAGAACTTCACTCTTGGTCGGCAGTTTTGCCCCTCCTGAGTATCACTGTACAAGAGCTGAGGAAGCAAGGAGAGTACCATACAAATCTAGTAGTAAAATCATCATCGTTTGACAGTTCTTGGTGGAGAGAAAAAGTACTAAAGACACTAGGGCACAGGAAAGCAAAAGAGAAAAGGAAATGAGAAGACTTGGAGCTGCAGGGAAGGAGAAAATAATACTACTAATACCTCATAGAAAAGGTGCTGTTGGCTCACGGTCAGGACCTCCGTCCCTGAGAAGTAAGTAGAAAGATAAGGAGAGTGTTCTGAGAGGGAGAAGGAGGTGGAGTTTTTCCTGTTTGTTTGTTATTGGTATTTTGTCTTGTTGTTGTATATATAAGACAGACTAAACCTAAGGAAGATGCAATGGAGAGGCCTCTCTAACACTCCCAAAGAGACCCCATAATCCAGATTTCTTTCCTTCTGGAGCAGTCCATGTACAGCCAGGGCAGCCCAGCTGGTGCAGACTGAGGAGTGGGGAAGAGAAGAGGTTTCTCTGGGATAGAGTGGCCTCTATTGGTTCTAACTCAGTCTAGATCCCGGTCTGGTCCTGAGAAATCAGATCCCACCCATAATCCTACTAACCTTCTATGTGCCCCTCCTCACTCTCCCAGGAAAGCCTGAGCACAGGGAAATGGGAGAGACCCTCCCTGAGGAGCCAGGTGAGTGCAGCTCCTATTCTGGGGGCCCGGTGATATCCCATGCAGGGTTGCCAAGTGGATTGGAGCCAGCAAGAAATGGCTTGTGTGAGTTCACGTGGGAACACAGGAGAGGGAGGCTCTGTGGGATGGAGGGAGGGGCTCAAAGCGCTTGGTCAGTTCTGAGTCTAACTCCTGGGCCTTAAGAGGACCTCGCTGGAGATGAGAAGCAGCTGTGCCTAGATGGTGAGAGGCAAGCTGCGTCTAAATTTCTGGGGCCAGGTATGCTGGGTGTGTTAGTCCAGGTGGACTAGAGAAACAAATCCAGGGAGACATATATGTGTATAAGAAAGAGCTTTATATACAAGAGCAATGGAATATTGAGAAATACATCCCAGCCCAGTCCAGATAAAGTCCATAAGTCCAATATTAGCCCATATGTCTGATACCAATCTATAAATTCCTCTTCAGACTCATGAAACACATGCAATGACATTGAATACAGAAAGTTCACAGGCCAGTGGGTGGGAAGTCTTGTGGATCCAGTGGTGGTAGAGGCATCTCAGCGCTGGCAGGGGGTCTCTATCTCCATGTGTCTTGTCAGCAAGCATGACTCGCAGGGATGAGCATGTGTCCCGCCTCCAAAGAGCTATTTATCTCCCTAGTACCTCTAAATGAGGTGACTGAGCTGCGACCTGATTGACAGGCTAAACTCCACCCCTTCACTCTTAAGTCTCAAATTGACAACAGATTATGTAACTACCATACTGGGGTTATGTCCAGAGCTATAAAGTAGAACTATTGGGTCTTTCGGTGGGGCCTGGGTACAGCTGGCAAAGGGTAGGGGGTAGGAGTTGTAAGACTGAGGTCATTGGGGAAAAATTAAGTAGAATTCTAAAAGCAAAAGAGAAAGAGGCCTAGGAAGAAGTCCCTAGACTTATTGAGGAATCTCTGTGGAGTGATAGGGCTTAGCTCTCAGGGGGCATATCAGGAGGTGATTGGGCTTGAGAAAATTCTGAGACACTAGAGACCACTTGGCTTTTGTTTGGGTGCAAAACTTGGTTTTAATGTCCATTTTGTAGGTTTAGTGGATATAGGCCTGGCCTTAGCTCGGTCACCATCGTTCATGGAAACCTTCAACAAGTCACTTCCCTGATAAAACAGTGGGTTGACCTTGGTGAACGCCAGGCACCTTCCTGACTCTGATTAAAGCCAAAGCATGAAAAAACCCGGAGCTTTCCCTGGGGACTTCCACGGCTGCAGAAACCAGCAGAACGTTGGCCATTGAGGGCTCCCCCTCTGGTGGCTGGAGTATGACTCAGAGCAGGGCCAACCAATTTGAGGGCTTGAGCAAAGGAGCACCTGTCTAGCTTGGCTTTGAGCAAGGCTTCTATCTCCCTTTGGCCAAGCCAAGTGGAGATACAGGCCTGGTTTTGCACTGTGACCAAACCAGTAATAGAAAAGAGTCCAAGCATAACTGGATTCGCTGTCTTGAGGGTTGGTTCTGTTCTACGTGGTATAAACATATTTCACAAAACCCTTACAGTCAAGCCCTGGAGCTGATGGTAAACAGGGACGCTTTGTGTCCAGGGAACAAGTGAAGAGACTAGCTGCATTGTCTTGGGCCCTTCCCAACTTCTTGAGGGGTGCTGATTTGCTGATACTGAGGCTGTTTTTCACACTGGCAAAGTGAAAGGGTTTATTGGCGAAAAAGAAAAGGGGAAAAATGCAGAAAATTTGGTGTGTTTTGAATATGTACTTGAGAAGGTTCTTTCTTGTCCCTCTCTTCCTCTTTAATGGCATAGAGTAAGTACCTGATTCTACAGCATTCCACCAGAGCTGCATGAAATTTGGCCACTGTGGACATTGTCTACCGTCTTTTCCCCCCTGAACTGTATGGTCAGAAAAAAAATTGGATTTTACTTCATTCAAATGCTAATATCTCAGATCCTTGAAGCTGACTGATGTGCTTCCAGGAGAACCCAGCAATGCTCCAAAAAGAATGTGTCGTGAATGACTGCTTCCCTTTGCCAGTGTGGCCAGGGGTCCTGCTGTGTCTGGGACACGAAGGGAAGGGTGGGTGGTGAATGAAGACATAGACACTCAGCCCTTGGCCTCCAGGCCTGGGATGATTTGAAGGCTTCTCCTCAAGTGACGGTGGGGCTTTGGTTGGGGGGTCTCGACAGCAGCTTGTGCAGGCCATTTTCTATAGCAGAGCCCTGGCTGATCTCTGTTTCTTTTGCCCACAGCCAATTTCCCCGATACTGAGGAAGCTGCCAAAATGGAGGTGAGCCATCCCATTTCCTCTTTCTTCTCTCCTCCTCCCCCTCCTCCCCTGTGATCTTTATGTGGATCCTCATTGCTCCTTTCTGCTTTCTCTAGACTGAGAAAGCAGTCACCTATTCCCTCCTCGAGCATACAGAATGTCCAGAGGAAGAAATCGGATCCCTGGATTACCAGAACAGTGCTTAAGCTCCACTGTCCTTCCTTGGGACTTGGGGAAGACAATCAGAGAGATGACGATCTGGTGTTTACTGGCCTGCGTTTCCTTTGGGAAGGACAAGAGGATCCTTCATTCCAAGGCAGGGGAAGGATTCTTTCAGAGTTATCCATGTGAGTCATGAAGCTTGCTGTTCTGAGAAACACAAACCATCCGGTCCCAGATGATCGACTTTGCAGATTCCTCCTGTTCTGCAGCCCTTCTTGTCATCGCGACCCTTGTATTCCTTCCGGGCAATAAAATTACGGTAGCAGCAACAAAGAAAATGCTTGTTACGGGTTATTGTTAGTTGCCCTCAAGTCAAAATAGATATGTAAGTCTGTATGATCTTGGAAATGTTAAAGTAGGCAAATATAGTCTAGACTATTAAAAGCGGTTGTTTCAGCAGGCATTATCAGTAATTTAATTTTATTTCTTTTTCTATAAAGATAATAGCATTGCTTTTATAAGACATTGTAAAAACAGCATGCCATTTGCCTTGCAACAACTATATTGGCAGCAGTGTAGACTGATCTCTGGAGTCTTGTTTCTTTTCAATGATAAGACTCTTGGGAAGGTAGCGATGGATAAAGGATGGGCGCAGGGAAGATAGAGGTTTAGGGTGTAGGGTGAGTGCAGCTTTTCCTAAAATGGAATAGTCTTCCGCCAATAAACTTGTAGTTTTGTTGACATGTCTTCTTTCACAACAAGCAGAACAATTGCTTCACTTAGTAGCACAAGTTCTTAGGAAGCCAAGCTTCAGATGAGTCACCAGTGGGAACTGCTGAATCTTCAGACTTTGATTTTCTCTCCTTACTAGAAGTTGCCAGGAGAAGAGATTCTCGAAAAGCCATCTTTAGTAGCTTTCTTAGCAGATGCCCGTTTGCTGGAACTCTAACACAGCATCATTGGGCAACATGTGTCTTGCTTTTGGGATTCAACGGCTTCCTCTGTTGGGTGCTTGCCACAACTTTTTGTAATACACTCATTTTATAGTCCCACGATCCGTTTTCCATGCTGTCATATTGTCATCATAATAAAGAATAATTACAATTATTGGTTTATTGAGGACCATTTTATTTTCAACTCTGTGCTTTGGAATTAGAGTTTAAGATATTATTTAAAAAAACTACAAATCTGTTTAAAATTAAAAGTAGAAAGTTTATTATGGCAAAAGAGCATTTTGCAAAATGGAGAAACACAAGAGGAAACAGCTCTCAATTATGTTCTACCAGGAGCGCCAGACTCCAGAGGCTCAGAAAGATAAAATCCACAATTAAAGGGGATTGGATAATATTTGCCAAGTTGTAGGTGTTAGTGTCTTGGGTGACCATCACTCTAAAGGTTAGTCTTCTTTGTTGGCTCTGTTGTTAATGTTAGGAACCGTCAAGTCAGTTCTGACTTACAGTTACCCTCGGCACAACAGAACAAAACACTACCTGATCCTGCACCATCTTTGCAATTGTTGTTATATTTGAGCCACTTGTTGCAACCACTGAGTCAATCCATTTCCTTGAAGGTCTTTTCCTTTTCCACTGAAGAAGTTACACTTTTTCCAGGGACTAGTCTCTCCTGATAGCATGCCCAAAGGACAGGAGAAGAAGTTTCACCATCCGTACTTCTAAGGAGCATTCTGATTGTGCTTCCTCCAAGACAGATCTGTTTATCCTTCTGGAAGATCTTGGTACTTTCAATATTTCTAGTCAACATCGTCAATTATTATTCTTTGGTCTTCCTTATTCCTGGTCCAACTTTCACATGCATGTGACCTGTTTGAAAATCCCAGGAGTTGGGTCAGACACACCTTCTTCCTCAAGGCAGCATCTTTGCTCTGCAACACTTTAAAGAGGTCTTTTGCACCAGTTCTTCACGATGCAATATGTCCTTTGATTTCTTGACTACTGCGTCCCGGAGTGTTGATTCTTGACAACTTCCATCTTTTTTCCATTTATCATGCTGTCTATTGGTTAAGTTGTGAGGATTTAGATTGTCTTCATATTGAGTTGCAATCCATGATAAAGGTTGCAGTCTTTAATTTTCACCGAGTGCTTCAAGTTCTCCTTGCTTTCAGCAAGCAGGATTTTATCTTTTGCATATCCCAGATTGTTAATAAGCCTTCCTTCAATCCTGATGCCCCTGTTCTTCTTTATATAGTTTAGCTTCTCAGATTCTTCGTTCAACAACAGATTGAATAAATATGGTGACAGATACAACCCTGACACGTACTTTTCTGATTTTAAGCTACACAGCATTCCCTGTTCTGTTCAAATGGCAGCCTCTTGATCCATGTATAGGTTCTGCATGAGCACATGAAGTGTTCTGGAATTCCCATTTTTCTCAATGTTATCTATAGCTTCCTATGATCCACACGGTTAATGGCTTTGCATAGTCAATAAAACTCAGAGAAACCTCTTTCTGATATTATTTGCTTTTAGCCAAGATCCATCTGACATCAGCAGTGATATCACTGGTTCTAGGTCCTCTACTGAATTTGGTTTTAATTTCTGGCAGCTCTCTGTCAATGTACTACTGCAACCATTTTGTAATCATCTTCACAAAATTTTACTTGCATGTGATATTAAGATAGTGTTTTATAATTTCCACATTCTTCTGTTTGGCCACCTTTCTTTGGAGTAGGCACAAATATGGATGCCTTCCAGTCAGTTGCCTAAGTACCTCTCTTCGTGAGTGCTTCATGTGCTTCATGGTCTTGTTGAAATATTTAAGTTGATATTCCATCAATTCCTGTAACTTTTTTTTCACTCATGCCTCAGTGCAGCTTGGACTTTTCATATCATTGATTCTTGATCATATGCTACATCTCCAAATGGTTGAACATCATCCACTTTTTTCAGGTACAGTGACTCTGTGTATTCCTTTCATCTTCTTTTGATACTTCCTGCATCGTTCAATATCATGCTTCTCATTAGTGCAGCCCAAAGCTTCATGGTTCTAGGTGACAGCATATAGCATTGACCATGAATTTCCTGAAATATTTTAAAATATACACCCAGGGTACTGTAAAAGGGGAGCCTCAGGACATTGCTAATAATTGGCTGATGACCAAATACACACGCTCAATACCTGTACCTACTGGGAACCTGACAAAATCACATTTCTTACTATTCCCTACGTCTAATCTCTACAAAATTTTTCATCTTGTCACACATGAGACAGAAGTAAGTCTCAGAGCAACAAAAATAAATGTGATCAATGTCTCCTATTCAAACTGTGCTTCAGAACAGAGACACACACACATTCATTTTCTGTGTGGACCCTAGTATTTGAAAATAAATGAAAAATATCTTTCAGTTCTTTAAAAACAAAACCAAAAGGAAATTTGGCTTACTATGGAATTTGGGCTTAGTTCTGTCAAGTTCCTTAAGCTTTGGAGTTATTAGTAAAGTTGCATCTCTTTTTCATTTGTTATTTGTCATTTATATTTCTCATTTTGTAATTATTCTCTTTATATTTTACAGTAGCAATGTATACCTTTTATTTATCATTTACATTGTTATTGTTAAAGATCTAGTTCCTTTTCGATTATAGCCACCTGATGTAACAGAGTAAACTGTCCCCTGGGCTGTCTTGACTGTCATTTTTATGAAGGCAGGTCACCAGACCTTTATTCCTTGGAAGGGGTGGGTGGGTTCAAACGGTAACCATTTTGTTAGCAGCCTAGTATTTAATTACTGAGATACCAGGCTCGTTAAAAGTTAAAAAGTTAAAAAACTTTCCTTATAAGTTATTTTACTACACCAATAACATATTTTGTATAAAATAAAAATGCACACAAAAAATCATAAAATTTACTTAATAAACCTGCAAACCTCAAATCAATGCTAACGTTTAAAGCTGACAATCTACATTGTGGCCTAGGACAATATGCCTCCTATATGTATATTTAAAGTTTGAGTCATATTATATATTTTACATGTTAGGCCAAGGTTCATGTTCATTGTAAAAATGCAAATGTAAAAATATAAAAAAGAGTAAAAAGTGAAAGTTCTCTTTTGTCATGCCCCACCCTCCTGTTCCCTTCTCCACAGCAGCCAATCACCATTGAAAGCTTAATTTGTATTTCTAGACTTTTAACAAATTTACTTAAGCTATATTAATAGTTATATGAACACCATAAACAGCATTATATTTTACAGATTGTTATGTAGTTGGCTCACTTTGTTTAACAATAAGTTGGGAGGCTCTTTCCATGAGAGCATTTTTGTTTTTTTGGTGTTTTTTTAATCATTTTATTGGGGACTCTTGCAACTCTTATCACAATCCATACATACATCCATGAGTCAAGCACATTTGTATATTTCTTACCCTTATCATTCTCAAAACAGTTGCTTTCTACTTGAGCCCTTGGTATCAGCTCCTCATTTTCCCCTGCCTTCCCTGTTCCCCCTCCCTCATGAACACCTTGGTAATTTATAAATTATTATTTTGTCAGATCTTACGCTGTCTGACATCTCCCTTCACCCAATTTTCTGTTGTCCATCCCCCAGGGAGGAGGTTATATGTAGATCTGTGTAATCAGTTCCCCTTTCTACCCCACCTTCCCTCGACCCTTCTGGTCTCGCCGCACTCACCACTGGTCCTGAGGGGTTCATCTGTCCTGGATTCCCAGTGTTTTCAGTTCCTATCTGTACCAGTGTACATCTTCTGGTCTAGTCTGATTTGTAAGGTGGAATTCGAGTCATAGTGGGAGTGGGGAGGGAGCATTTAAGAACTAGAGGAAAGTTGTATGTTTCATTGTTGCTACACTGCACTCTGACTGGCTCCTCTCCTCCCCACAACCTTCTGTAAAGGGATGTCCAGTTGCCTGCAGATGGCCTTTGGGTCCCCACGCCCCACTCCCTCTCATTCACAATGATGAATTTTTGTTCTTTGATGACTGATCATGGGCCCTTCAATATTGGGTGATCACACAGACTGGTGTGCTTCTTCCATGTGGGCTTTGTTGCTTCCTTGCTAAATGGCACTCGTTTACCTTCAAGCCTTTAAGACCCTAGATGCCGTATCTTTTGATAGTTGGGCACCATCAGCTTTCTTCTCCACCCATTTGTCTTCAGTGATATTATCAGTAAGGTGAGCATACAATGATATGTTTTGTTCTTTGAGGCAGCATTTTCGTTTTAAGGTATATTGTCTATTAAGAAATACATAGTATTTTATAGTATAAAACTATACCATATTTTATTTAATTCATGTTTTCAGTGTTTCCAGTTTTTTCACAATTGTGCAATGCTGCAATGAACAACAAACTTGGGTGATAATTTTTGACGGCATGTGTGCATATTTCTACAGGATAAATTCCTAGAAGTAGAATTGCTCGCTACAGGGGGACTCATACTGTCTTTAAAAGCACAATTTACAGGTCCTTTCAAAGTATATGCCTATTTCCTGACACTCTTGCCAATGTTGAGGATTTAACATTTTTGTCAGTTGCACTGCAGTGGATTCCTGCTGGTATCTACTTAGCACAGTTTTTCCTTTATTCTAGTAAGAAAGGTCAAGGTTTGTTTAGGCAAAATAGCTCCTCTGTGCACTTCCAGCCCAGGGTTCTAGGTGGGCTCATTTCACCCGATTCCAGGGGAGAGTGTCCCAGGGCTTTTTCCTCCGAAGTTAACGCTTGCACAGCAGGGCACTAAGACTGAGAGCAGGGAACGCCCGCCCATTCAACCCAGGGACTCTGCCCAACCTGGAATCTGCCCTTTCTTGTATAATTTCTTCCACTCTCCCTTCCCCTCTGTCAGCTACCTGTGCGCTTTCGAAAATTTTACTCAAGAGTGGAAGAGGAGTTGATTGACAGCTTGGCCGGCTCTATCTCATTCTCTGCAGACGCTCGGAAGTCTGGGGTTTGCAAGTATTGTTGGCCAAGATAAGGACAGTGGGATTTTTTTTTATTTTAAACTCCAGAACTTCCTTGGCCATCCTGAGTCAATTTCTTCACTGATAGCTTGTCTTGTCAGACAGAAAGCCTGAGAAGTTCCGCTTTGAGCTTTCCCATAACTAAGATTCCTTGCATGGATCTTGCTGGTTCAGTTCAAAGA